ACAATCCGCGGAGCAACCGACCGGAAAGGAGGACAGCGTTAGTGGCACGAGAACTGGCGCGCTACAAGGTGGACATCGCCGCACTCAGCGAGACCCGATTCTCCGAACAAGGCCAACTGGAGGAGGTGGGTGCTGGCTACACCTTCTTCTGGAGCGGTCGACCCAGGGCAGAGCGACTGGGCGCGGGCGTCGCCTTCGCCATTCGGAACGACATCGTGGGACGACTGCCCTGTTTGCCGCAGTGCATCAACGATCGCCTGATGAGACTCCGCCTGCCTCTCTGGGGAGGCAAATTCGTCACCATCATCAGCGCCTACGCTCCGACGATGATCAACCCCGACGCCGTCAGAGACAAATTCTACGAGGACCTGCACGCCCTCTTGGCGACTGTGTCGAAGGCGGACAAGTTGATTGTCCTTGGCGACTTCAACGCCCGCGTGGGCACAGACCATACTGCATGGAGAGGAGTGCTGGGTCCCCACGGTCTCCACGGCTCAAACGACAATGGTCTGCTGATTCTCCGCACCTGCGCAGAACACCGCCTCATGCTGACGAACACGTTCTTCTGTCTGCCGGAGCGAGAGAAGGCCACCTGGAGGCATCCTCGGTCGCGCCAGTGGCACCTAGTGGACTATGTCCTCGTCCGGAGGCGAGATCAGCGGGACGTGCTGGTGACGAAGGCGATCGCGGGAGTTGATGGGTGGACCGGCCATCGCCTCGTCATCTCGAAGATGCGTATTCGCCTACAGCCTCGCAGGAGACCACAAGGTAAGCGACCCCCAGGTAAGCTGAATGTTGCCTTGCTGTCTTTGCCAGCTCACCACCTTCATTTCAGCAATGAGCTAGCTCAACGGCTAGACAACCTTCCTATCGCTGCCGCCGACGACGTCGCCGCTGCCGAGAACGCCTCCGTGGAGAACCGCTGGTGTCAACTGCGAGACACGGTCCAGTCGACGGCGCTCGCCGTCCTCGGTCGCGCTCCCCGCCAACACCAGGACTGGTTCGATGACAACGACGCCGTCATCAGAAATCTACTAGCTGAGAAGAACCGCCTACAGAAAGCCTACGTAGATCACCCCACTGAGGACAACAAAGCTGCCTTCTGCTGCAGTCGCCGCCAACTTCAGCAACGACTGCGCGAGCTGCAGGACGTCTGGACTGCTCGCAAAGCTGAGGAGATCCAAGGGTACGCGGACCGCAACGAATGAAGGAACTTTATCTCTGCGATCAAAGCTGTCTACGGTCCGCCGACGAAGGACACCGCTCCTCTCCTCAGCGCCGACGGCAACACTCTCCTGACTGAGAAGACGCAAATCCTGCAGCGATGGGCCGAGCATTTCCGAGGCGTCCTCAACCGCCCCTCCGTCATCTCCGGCGCCGCCATCGAGCGTTTGCTGCAAGTGGAGACCAACGTGGACCTCGACCTCCCGCCATCTCTCCAGGAAACCATCAGGGCCGTGCAGCAGTTCTCCAGCGGGAAAGCACCCGGATCGGACGCGATCCCTGCTGAGGTCTACAAGCACGGAGGTCCCCAACTAATGGATCACCTGACTGCGCTCTTCCAAGAGATGTGGCGTCAAGGTGAAGTCCCGCAAGATTTCAAAGACGCAACCATCGTGCATCTCTACAAGCGCAAAGGGAATCGCCAAGTCTGCGATAATCACCGCGGCATCTCCCTGCTGAACATCGCCGGGAAGATCTTCGCACGAATCCTCCTCAACCGTCTCAATAACCATCTGAAACAGGGCCTTCTGCCGGAAAGCCAATGCGGCTTCCGTTGTCATCGTGGGACCACGGATATGATCTTCGCCGCCCGTCAACTTCAGGAGAAGTGTCAGGAGATGCGGACCCACCAGTACTCTACCTTCGTGGACCTGACGAAAGCCTTCGACACGGTGAATCGTGAAGAACTGTGGAAGATCATGCAGAAATTCGGCTGTCCGGAGCGATTCACTCAGATGGTGCGTCAGCTGCACGACGTTATGATGGCGCGAGTCACGGACAACGGAGCTGTCTCAGAGGCATTCGCAGTGACTAACGGAGTGAAGCAGAGCTGCGTACTGGCGCCTACCCTCTTCAGTCTTATGTTCTCTGCCATGCTGATAGACGCCAACCGCGATGAACGCCCCGGGATCCGCATCGCCTACAGAACGGACGGTCACCTCCTGAATCAACGGCGGATGCACTTCAAATCGCGCGTATCCACAACCACCGTGCACGAACTCCTCTTCGCCGACGACTGCGCCCTGAACACCACCTCGGAAGAGGAGATGCAACGGAGCATGGACCTGTTCTCCGCCGCCTGCGAGAACTTCGGTCTGGTCATCAACACACAGAAGACGATGGTGATGCACCGACCGCCACCCAACTCGGCCACAGCCCCCAACGCGCCGCCGCAAATCAGCGTGAATGGGACCCAACTGCAAGTGGTGGAGAACTTGCCGTACCTGGGCAGTACTCTCTCCCGCAACACCAAGATCGACGACGAAGTCGCCAATAGGATCTCGAGAGCCAGTCAAGCCTTCGGTCGCCTCAAAAGGACAGTTTGGAATCGTCATGGTCTCCAACTGAGCACGAAGCTGAAGATGTGCAAGGCCGTCATCCTGCCGACGCTACTGTATGGAGCGGAGACTTGGACGGTGTACGCAAAGCAGGCACGTCGTCTGAACCACTTCCACCTCAGTTGTCTTCGTCGCATCCTGAGGCTGAAGTGGCAGGATCGAATCCCCGACACTGATGTGCTGGAACGGACGGAAATCCTCAGCATCTACGCCATACTGAGGCAAATTCAGCTGCGCTGGAGCGGCCACCTGGTGCGCATGGACGACGAGCGACTACCCAAACGACTCTTCTACGGAGACGTCGCTACGGGTTCTCGCCGTCAAGGAGGCCAGATTCGACGTTACAAGGATACCCTGAAGTCCTCCCTGAAATGCCTGCAAATCAACCCCACCAACTGGGAGGAGCTCGCACTCAATCGACCGACCTGGAGGAGGACAGTGAAGACAGGCGCTGCGATCTACGAAGCCAACCGCATCGCTGCCGCCAAAGCGAAACGTCAAGCCCGCAAATCACAACTTCGCCCAATAAGCAACGCCGCCGCACAACCGCTTACAACGTGTCCTCGATGTCAACGGACATTCCGGGCTCGAATCGGACTTGTTGGACATCTTCGGATTATCTAAGTTCAGCGAATATTCCCATGTTGCAATTGAAAAGTCAAATTGACGAACACGTGTTTTCAGTAACTCTTCATCAGGCCAAAACGGTTACAATGAAGTTTAAGTTATGCGAATTACATGACTTATAAATGATTCGGGGACAATTAACATCGATCGTTCCCACGCCACTCGCATGACGAGGCGTGCTATGGCGTGGTCGGCGTTTCGTGGTAATTGGGTTCAGGGGGCGAGGAGGAGGGGGGGGGGGCATAGGCTGTGAGTGCGTCGTGTACCTTGTACACCCACCCTGGCATCAGGAGGTTGGAGCGACGTTGGGGTCGGCGTCGGCCACGGAAGACAGAGCGCCTGTGTCAGGGTCTTCTGACAGCATAGCACTGGATTGGCTAGCCGTATAGCCACTGCCTCAGCTGTAGCTAGCACCCGTTGGCGTAGGCCTTTGGAAAAGCCTGCTGGTGTCCGGTAGACAATCTGAAAGGCTTCTTTGGCATCGACTCGGTGATTCGTATCGACAAGATGTGCGAGAATAGAACTCGAGATCGATTTCTTCTCACCTTTGCCTAGCCAGGCCGGTATGTGTTCACGTACTCTCTTTTCCAAACGCCTCGTTGTACGGCCGATGTAGCCCGCTCCACAGGAGCAAGTGAATGAATAAATACGCATCGATTTGGCCTGAAACGGGAGTCGGTCTTTACCTCCCAAGCGTAGGAGGGGAGAGTTAGTGAAACACACACGTAAGTTCGCCGCGGGAAAAGCGCTAGTGATCACTGTCTTCAGACGTCTTTTTACCGGTTCACTTGCTGCGTCTCCTTGAAAAGGCAATCTTATAAATAAGTCCTTCTTTTCTGCAGTTGCCATGGTAGGCTTTGCAGTGCTCTCCCCTATATTTCGAAGGATAAATCTTTCTGGATATCCGTTTTCGTGGAGTGTATCCCGCAGCTGCTGGAGTTCTGCCTCCACAGTCTCAGGAGAGCAGATACGTCGCACTCTAGCTGCCAATCCCTGGACTACATTTCGTTTGATGTTGAGGGGAACAAAACTGTGAAAGTTAATGTATTGTCCCGTCCAGGTTTTCTTTCGGAATACTCTACGTTGGATAGACCCATCCTCTTGTCTGTGCAGAAGAACGTCAAGGAACGCGATTTCATTGTTTGCCTCAAACTCTGCAGAGAACGTTAGCGAGGGGTGTGAATTGTTGAATTTTTGAATCAGGACGTCTGTGTCGGTGGTAACATCCGTCAGGCAGAAAATATCGTCTACGTACCGACCGTAGAAGCTGAGGTCATTAATGGTGTCTTGTAAGCTTGTCATCTCGACTTTGCCCATGAAGACATTTGCGAGGAATGGGCCGAGCGGTGAGCCCATCGCTACGCCGTCTATTTGCCTGTACAATTGACCATTGCAGAGAAACTGGACGTTTTGCGTGCACTTTGTCAGAAGCTCTTTTAGCGTCTCCAACGGCATGCCTAACGGGTAGTTCGTGTCGCGGATAACGTCACAAAGGTAGTTTATTGTTTCGGCTACGGGTACATTAGTAAACAATGATGCTAAGTCTAAAGATAGCATCCTCCGTCCGTCAACGTTAATATCCTTTATCGCCTCGACAAACTCGAAGGTATCCTTCAGACTTAGGGGATATAAATGACTTTGCAGCGGTTTAAGCTTTTCGACTAGCCACTTTGCTATGGTGTGATAGGGCGAATTCCGCATATCCAGGATCGGACGTAGGGGTAGTCCGTGTTTGTGAATTTTTGGAAGGCCGTACATTCTGGGTATGGCCGTGTCCACTGGTCTTAGTCGTTCATATTCTTGTTCAGATAAATGACCTTCTTTGTGGAGAACTTTGAGGACAGCCGTCAGTTGACCTTCAATGGCCTCGGTGCGGTCCCTGTCTTTCTCGGATTTCGAGAATTTGGTACGATCCGACAAGATTGCTTCTAGTTTTTCTACGTACTCTTTTCTATCCATCAGTAAAACTCCTGAACCCTTATCCGGCCTGGTTAGCACAATGTTTCGTTTTTACAAAGTTCGCTGAGGCTATCGAGATGGGCCCTTGTTAATGGACCTTTGTTTTTTGGAGCCTTTCTTAAGTACTATTGACAGCAATTAACCATAGTCGACTTCAGATAGTCTACTTCTCTAGGCTTGCTAGGTATTAGATCGGCAGTCTGACTGAATAGACTTTCGAATTGGACTTCTAACTCTAGCTGCTTCGGCATCCGCCGTGCATTGCAAAACCTAGGACCAAGAGACAGTACCTCTATGAGAGTTTTGTCAAGCTGTACTGAGGAATAGTTATGAACGTACCGTTCCGGATTATTCGGAAGGGCCGTCTGAGCCTTCACTGGTTGGACGCTTCGAAGGAGCTTAGTCCACCTCGCCTCGATTCATTTACTTCTGACAGTTTGCACGTAGTTATCGAACTGCGCCTCTCGAACGGCCCCAACCATCGTCCCCCCGCCTGCCTCTTCCTCCTCCTCTCCGCCGCCAACTAACCCTGACAATTCTTCTGACCCACCACTTCCATCATCCTCCTCCTCCTCCTCCTCCTTCTCCTCCTCCTCCTCCTCCTCCTCCTCCTCCTCGCCCACTGCGCCAACGGCGGCCGCTCAGGCGACTGTCCCACGCACAGCAACCGACACTACCACCACCTCCCCCGACTCCAGGGATGAGGATCAGGACTGCACCTGCCCTCACTGCGACCGTACCTTCACCTCACACATCGGCCTGGTCGGTCACTTGCGAATCCATCGCACAGAGCCTGACGAACCAGTGCGTGAAGCACCAACGTACACCCACCGCATTCGCCTCCACTGCCCACACTGCCCTCGCACCTTCAAGCATCGCATGGGCCTTTTCGGCCACATGCGCATCCACGAGAGCGACCTTGACCGCACTCCCGACACACCCACTACATCCAACACATCCACCGTGCACACCCTCACTCTCGTTCCATCCGTCCGCGACACCACCACCACCACCACCTCCTCTGTAGCTGACACTGACACCGCCGACTTCTCATGCCCACACTGTCCACGCACATTCACCTCACGCATCGGCCTGGTCGGTCACTTGCGAATCCATCGCACAGAGACTGGCGAACCAGTGCCTGGAGCACCCACCTATACCCACCAAGCTCGTCTCAACTGCCTACACTGTCCTCGCACTTTCAGGCATCACATGGGCCTATTCGGCCACATGCGCATCCACGACGACCTGCGGTAGACAACCGCCGGCCACACCACGCATTCACTCACTCCCTACCTCCTCCACCACCACCATCACCCCACCAGAAGTCAACACTCACACACCTCATGCACCCAACTGCCACCTCCCACGCACGTGGGAAGTCCGCATCTCGACTCGGTCCCCATGCGGCTTCGGCTGCACGGGTGACTTGAGTCCGAGACTATCCCGACACGTCAAGCGTCGTGGATAGGAAGGTTGCTGATTGACGCCCGCTCTCGGTTCACGCAGTTCGTCGCGTTGTGTTTGTGTGTTGTGTGGAGTGGGGGACTGGTGGGCTGGGAACGGGCTGAAACAGCACCTTCCACGGCACTCTCACGCAAGTGAGAGCCACGCCGTTCAACCCTCCTTGTGTGAAATCCTGGTGTTTGTGTGTGTATGGGGGGCCAGGTCGTGCCGTGGCGCGCGCAGTCATGGTCAGTCGACCATGACAGCCACCGCGCCCATTCCCCACTCCAGTCTGCTGACCGGCTCGGACAGCGGCTGGGGTGTGGGAGTGGGAAGAAGAGTGAGGTCGACGACTCAGCGCACTTTCTCCTCACTATAAACAATCTGACGCGCTTGAAGCTATCACGGTGCGCTAAAAGCCGTGGCTTGGAAGGTTGCCAACTGACGGGGTAACTTGGACATCCTCCTTGACCGGAGGCGGTCTGAGAGTCAGGCTGCAATGGCTCCTTTTTAATGTGGCCTTTATGGCACTCCCATCACAGTGTGGGATCCGAGCCAGGCGTTGGCGGCACGCCCAGGTGCGGCTTCGGTCGTGCAACCCTCCAAATCTCTCTTGTGTTGGTTGAAATCCTGGTTATTTGTTGTGTGGGCCAAGGGGTGTGGTGGAACGCCAAGGTGAGGATCCGTCCGAGCCATCCACCTGCGGCCTCCCTCGTCTCCGGTCTTCTTGATACTGTCTTGACACCGGGCTCGGGCGAGGGAGGAGGAGAGAGTGTAGGTAGATGCTACGCAAGTCTACCGGCACTATAAGCACCTGCGTAAGTCACCGTCCTTGCTCTCATTGCTGATGCAACTGTGGGGCACACGGTGGACATCATCGAAATCGATGGTCGAACTGTCAGGGTGGTTGCTCTCGTAATGTAGGATAACTTCCGCCTAAGTTTCTTTTCGGTATACTGATATCTGGAATGTCCCGTCCGATTTTCGCTGTACGAGGACATCATCGAGTCCATATCACTTTATTTAGCGATACATTGCATAGAAGAACTCTTACAATTCTACGACCTTGAGGTTCCTGCATCTGCTTTGTTTCAGCTCTTTGAATTTTCGTTCGCATTTGAATATTAACAACAGCTGAATGATGCTCCTACGGGGTCACCTATTTCTGGCTTTTTGGTTGAGGCCAAAATGCAAAAATTAGAGATTATGGCTTTACCATTATTCAACCTCAAATTGTGGGTACGCTACATAGATGACACCCTTGTCATCGTCAAGAGGAATCAACTAGAAACTCTGCATAACGTTATCAATGCAACACTGCCGGGAGTCACCTTCACGCTCAAAAAAGAAGTTAACAGCAAACTCCCATTTTTGTTGACAAAGAAATATCGATTTTTGAGCATGTTTAAATTTTGACTCTTTCTTTACACACACTAAACGTATGACAACGAGCTGGGGAACCAGACACGAAAATTTACGAAATAGAGTTTGTTAATTTTCCCATAGGACTCATTTTTCTTCGAATTATTTTTCCTGGGATGCCCGTTTACCAGTACATATATATATATATATATATATATATATATATACTCATTAATTTGACCTAATATCGGGAAACTGGAAGTCTTTGTGCAATTTAAGTTCAGAAATCAGCTCACCCCCTTTGTACTTTAGGGTTCAATACAGAACCTTGTTAACAATCCCATTGCAGTTGTAGAAGGAGCTTACCGACAAAAACAAAGGAGACTGGAAATGCCATTCCTGGTTACGTAGTCGTCATCAGACGGCTAAATCCAACCCCAAGCTTGAAGCCCCTGAGGTTCCAACCCAGGATATTTGATCTTCGGGTTAAATGCCTTATCGGTGAGCCTCGTTTCCGTTGTCCTTCCGGTTAAGATGGGAAATAGAAACCGTGTTAATATTGCGTTTCCAGATTGGATCAGGAGAAAACCTAGATGACGATGGCTTACATACCAGCAATAGCCATTGCGGTCTACTTTTTCTTTGTCGGCAATATTCTTGTGCCCACATAACTAGTCATTGTGCCACTGCCTTCGAGGTAAGAGATCAGTCCCCAAAGCCCAACAAGTATACCTAGAAAACCGATTGACGAAAGCAAATCCAACACAGTCAATGTATGCGAAGAAAGGGAAAGGATCTCTGGAAGAAAAGCTCTATTAACTTGACGTTTCGGATTCCCACTCATTTCCATTATTGATACAGATAAGGGTAGTGTACTGTAGTGTCCATGTGTTGCGGCGTTTATAGGATGAAAGTGCTGGAGCACTACCCGTCTATCGCAGTATGTGGATGATACCTTCGTCGTCATCGAACGGGATCGGGGGCTGAAATTCAAAGAACAAACTAACGTCGTATTCCCGGACATACAACTTAAGACATAAGTAGAGGAGAACAACCAGCTTGCCTTTCTTGATATCCTCCTCTGTCGCAAAAGTCGTGGCGGTCTAAAAACCAAAGCATTCAGCAAAGCGACAGACGCGACGCAAGTACTGAGTCACAACAGCAACCACCTAGACAGCCAAAAACGCAGTTGCGTAAGGGCGCTATGCCAGCGTGTAGAGACACATTGCAGTGAACAGGAAGACAAGGTTGCTGGTTTGCTATACCTTCGAAGGGAGTGAAGGTATGGGTAGCGAATGGCTACCGATGCAACTTCGTCAACCAATGCCTGCGCAAACGAGAGGAGAGACTGAATCAAACCGGCTCCAAGTTTTGGCCAGCCCTCCCATGCGTGAAGAATGTCTCGGAAGCCGTCAGTTATCTTCTTACATCCCTCGGAAATGGGGCTGCCGACATGCCGGAGGCAACCATAAGGCGCCAGATCATGAGGCCGAAAGACCCACTGCCACGGCAGGAAACATCTGGAGTAGTTTACCGGATCTAGTGCAGTTGTGGGCAAAACAACTACGTCGGAGAAACCGGAACGGCATTTCAGACGCGGTTGGCCGAGCAGGCGGCGGCAGTTAGGAGGAACGACGCCAATTCTCAGGTCGCGCCTCATTCGACGGGACCCAATCAAACATTCAAGTCTGACGAGGCAGAAATTCTTGCTAGAGGCGATAACCGCGTGAGCCGTGAACTGCTCGAGTCATGGTTTTCCGGTCTTCAGTCAATCAACAGGCGCAACGAACCCCGCTCCATATTCCGCGCTGAGACTTAGTCTAACCCAAGTAGTTAGCCGCGGGAAGAGCGTGCCGATGACCGCTGCTCCCGGTGTCAATGTGGGCGAGCCAAATCATTCAAAAGTCCTCGCATATGACTAAATCCGGTAGTCAGCCACTCAGCGGCGTGGGATGAGCGTGGGAGCCGATAATTGTGACCGGCACAGAAGCGCATAGCAACGGCACACTTTAACACCTGGCCAGTCGTTCCTTGATGCACTAGGGACTTCGGCAAAGGTAGGGTATATAACCCTTGGGTTGTTGCTCTTCGTCATAACGGTTTGCCTGACAGTATGTCGGAAAACGGGTCACGCAGGAAGCAGATTTTGACCCTCAAAAGCGTTATCGATATTAAAGTTGTCCATTTTGGGCTAAGGTTAGGGTTTGAATGACGGTTAAAATTGGTTTCAGTTGGATTGTTCTTGGGAATAGGGTTTCCAGTCTTGTGCTATGGCTTCAGTTTGGGATAGAGGCTGGGATTAGGATTCTAGGGTTTGGCTAATGGTTACGGTTACATCGGACGTTTTTTAAAGGTTTAAAGTTTAGAGATTTCGTACTAAAGGCATGGCCATAGTTAGCGTTAGGTTTGTAGCTGACTACGGTCTCCCCAAGAGGGTTGCATACCACATCCTTGTCCACCGCCGTTATTTAACTCTTCTCTGATGATAGGTTCGACTAAGAATCCCAAACGTCAGGCTAATTAGGTTGCTATTTCAGCGATCGTGTCTCCTTCTCCGCGACTATTTCCTCGAAGTTGCCTCTCGACAGGACAACTCGCCGCGGCTCGACGGTATATAAATTGTGTGTATGGCCATCTATTGGTGGCACTTTATCCTCGGGTTTGATTTCAAGTTGGTGTTCATGCAGTGTTTTGCAGAGGCAGTTGCCTGTTTCACCAACATACCTTACAATGCAGGTTTGACACAGAATGCTGGAGGGCATAGCTGATTTTTCGCTGTCGGTAGCGGGTCGTTGAGTCTCATTATCTGTCTTGTGGTAGCGGGTGCCGCTTTATAGGCGGTCTTTGTAGTCGCCTCCAAAAACGCCCTTGATCTAGCGGATCATGTGCCATAACTTCTGGTTTCTCCCCGTCAAATTGCTCACTGGTAGGGTTTTTGGGTACTGCCGTACAGTAGGCAGGCTAACTCATGAAATGTCAACCGAAATTATGAAATGCGGTTACGTTTCGAAAAGATTAAGTAAGTAACGTCAGAGAACTAATAATTGAACGGCAGAACTCTATAATAATGCAGTTGCCTCAGAATACCGGCTTTCGAATTAACTTCTTTTCGGCAACATGCTAATCTATACTCTTTAGAAAACTACTATTTAAATAGCATGATTTTTCTCATTGATTTTTGATATCCTTGAAAATTCAATTATATCTAATGGAAAACATGCAAAACAATATTCATTTTTTTAATCTTTCGGTAGAAAATTACGTCTTCTTCAAATTCCATACTCGAAAGAATGGTATAATTCGGTTTTCAAAAACTTTTCCAATTTCCGAATAATTTTAAACCCGACCTGCCGTTACACTCGCATTCAGGGTTTCCAAACCCCAACCACATACTTTCCGCGTGCGCAAAACCATATTTTTCGCTACGGTTTTAAGTGGACACCATATGG